GCATTTTGCACTTGCAAAGCCTTCTTGCCACTTTCATTTCCTGAACACCAGGAGGAGGTTTGCATAATTTCTTTTCTGGAGGAGAAAGGGCCTCTGGTGAATGGAGGATTTTCCATCAACTTCTCCTCAACCCAGGGGACAAATTTGAGAGGTATTTCAAAGCTATAAGACTTGGTGAGTAATCTGAAATAGTAGATGAAATAAAAGAGAAAGCTACACTCGGGGATTTCTATCTTCGGAACTTGAGTGGAACATGTTAACACAGAATAATCTGGAGTGTAGAGAGTATCAGAGGCAGAAATGTAGGGATATTAACCATGACACAAACCTGCCTCCCCTAATACCTGGCACATGGAAGCCAGTGGTTGACAGTGTTGTCTCTTCCACAAGGAGAGAAAGGAGGACTTGGGAAGAGCTCACCAGTGGTCTGACAAGGGTGTTCCATTAGAGATGAATGAAAGAATTGCAGCAGAGTTTTCACAAGCGAGGTCAGAAATCACAAACCAGTCAGGGTGCCAATGAACACAGCCACGAGTGCTTGCCGAACTGAATGAGGAGCTGGCTTCTCTCCCACGAGTCAGGGCTGACTGAGGTGGCGGAGGGATTAGAAGACAGTGGGACTCGAAGCGGGGGAGAACGGGGGAGACACAGACGTGACTGACCAGCAGGATGAGGACAGGGTTACGTGGAAATGCAGCAGGTGTGGCCTAACAGTGATCCCAACAGTCAGGATGAAACCGACCCCCACAGCCACGTGAACGCAGCCAAAGTGTGTATTTCCAAAGTTCTGATGGCCTTGGCGCCTTCCCCCCAAAGTTTGGGATGAAAAAAGAAAGGCAATTAATTCCTTGGGTGTTCTGGAAACTTGAAGCCAGGACACCACCCCTAAATGGCTGCCGCCTGGCACCAGAGAGATAACGATGGTGGCTGGGTTCTGCTTGTCTTGAAGCGGACGCCTGGCCCTGCTTATCTCTAAGTCGACACACTCCCTGCTAACCTGACCGGCTGACCGGCAGCTGCTCAGAAGGCTTGACGGTAAGGGGGATCCGCAGCAGAGTGGACAGCCTAGACTCTGCGCTTCCTTGAGAAGCTCTCTGTTTCCGACACGAGAAGACAGGAGGGGACTCAGAAAGCAACCTGGTTTTCTGGCTGGAGGGTGTGAAGTGTGCAGTTCTATTTACGGCTCAGATATCTGGTAAACCAAGGCCAGCGTCTCACCTATGACCAGCCATGAGGATAAAACATCAGTAGGCCACAGCGTTGCCTCCTGAGAGCAAAACCCTTTGCTGGCGCATCGTCCATGAGGAGGGGCTCAGTAGACTTTCCAGCTCACGGGACTCTGAGTGGCAGGAGCCACCTCTCATGTCCCGTAACAAAGAGATGGCAGGCAGGCCCGGGGGTTGTGAGCATGACAACCTGTCTCATATTTTTTAATGAAAAAATGATACTTCATCTTTCTAATGACAGAGAATGTGGAAGGGGTTTACAGTAACATATGCCTTTTTTAATACACCGCTCATCATCTCAGGGCAATGACAACATGAAGGATGGAGCAGCAGGCAAAAGGTTAATAGAGCATTGGGCCTTTTTTAATTGAAAAAATGACTGAGGGACCCCACCGCAGACCGCGTGGTAATAGTATTACAGACTGTAAGTACCATTCCCGGTATTACAGACTGCAAGTACCATTCCCGAGACTTAATATTCATCTGGGGGTCCAGCAACGGACTTAACACATGTCACCAAGGCTCAACACGAGCGCGAGTCCATTCCCAAGGACGTTATTAAGCAACACGGTGTTTCTCAGAAAGATATATATTTTTAAAAATACACCTCTCCCTTTTATATGTTCTTAATTTGCTATCGTGTCTAAGAAATAAACACACCACATGTTGGCACAAGTTGCATCAATTCTTCTTTACCAATGCATCTGACCCAAATATAGTCAGATTTTCCAAGGCTAGTCTCACTCTGGGCAAAGTTTTACTTTGTCAAATATCTTAACTTTAAAGAGTGCTTTCTAAGAAGGATCCAGCGTGAAACAGCGCGTCAGTCATTCGTGATGGGCTAAGGAGGCGTAGACGAGATGATGGGGAGAAAGTGCTGTGAAGACATAAATATGCAAACATGAACTTCTCCTTCAGCCTCATCTTTATGTAACTGCATTTGTTCACATTAAGACTTTCAAAATCTCCCAGGGTGATTGGAAATCAGCGGCCTTTTAAGTCACATGGTCGTGGGGCTGTGTCCAGGAACGGGTTAACAACATGTGAAGGACACAGCCCAAAATAAACAAGGGGCTTCCGTTGAACCCTGAGCTTCTCAGCCACATATGTCAAGGAGGACATGGGAGGTGACCAGGCAGTGGAAGGGTTAGTCACAGAGCTGACCATTTGGAACACAAAGTGACCTGTTATGAAACTCGAACTCAGGAGGGACGGATCCCTGCAAGCCTACCATGCTTCTACACCCCTCCTGGCTGACACCCTGCTACCTTTTACCCCCATGAAGAGGAATGAAGTGATCAGATAAGCAAACATCAGGGAATCTCCCCCCTGCAGGAGGTCCAAGTCAAGCCATCACTGTAGCCAATGTACCGTAGGAGACAGGTCTTCCCAACAGCTTCCAACCCAGACACAAGCAAGGTGACTCTTCTGGGTCTCTCCAAGCCTGAAAGAAGCAGTTCTCTGCCCTGAATAACCAGAACATGTGCTCTGGACAATTCTCTTGATTGCAAACAGAAATGCTTCTAAAGGACAATCCTGCTTCTTAGAAGCTGAAAGAATTCATTTACACCCATGATAACTCAAAACATATCTGCTAAATACCAGTCTAGAAAGGTGACTTTGTTAAAGGTCTTTGCCATTTCTGAAAGTGACATGGGACATCTAGTGAAGATCATTGCCATCAGGCATAACCTTGCACAAGGCTCCTTTGCAATGGACCAGCAGCTGTCGTAGGACACGTAGCCACTCGTGGCCGTTTCAACTGTCTAACAAAACCGTTTCAACTGTCTAACAAAAACACCAGTTTTCAAAAGCAAGGTAAAATCAGCTTGCCTTTCTCCTCTCAAACGATGGTGCGTTTTTAGATTCCAGTCTTCTCTGGTTCTTGCATATCTCCAAAAGATAAAGGGGTGTGGGAGACAGGCATTTTGGTTCTCTGAGAAATTAAAACATCACATGTTGTCCCCTGAAGTCCCCCACTGTCTGGAGCAGACAGAAATGGGGAGCAGAAGGCTTGATAACATCTGCATGGACATTTGGGGGCCGGTTGATGAGGGGTTAATTGGGGCTAATTCAAAATGCACAAGCCAGAAATGTTTTTCCCTGGAGAACCCATGACAGCATCATAGCTTCTCTGGCTGAGAGATGACGGCTCCCAGCTCACTGTCAGTTGCTCCGGGGAACTCAGAGAAATGATATGTACATGGGCCCAACAGAAAACATAAAAATAATAAATGAAACTAATAATGCAAAAAGGGTTGGGGAAATAAGTAGTCCCTTCTGACACGAGCTGTGCTGGAAGCTTTGGGGAAAGGAGGCTGGAATATTAAATGAAAGATGTAAATTCTAGAAATTGGAGCTGTAAATTTTCCTTTGGAAGAAGAGGGAGCCAACAGTTTTGTTCAGAGTTGACTGAGCTCACAGGAGCTGGGTACCAGTGCAAGTCCAATGCAAGGAGGGCAGGCCCCACGCCCCCCTAAAGGAGGGGGTGCTCAGGAGCAGGAAGGTGTGGGGAAGGGAACGGGGGGCGTCTGAACAGGGTTCTGCCGCCCTCCACGTTAAACAGAGTGTGTTCTTTCTGTGGGGGCTGCAGGAGGAGCAGCTCCTTGCTAAATCCTTCCTTTCACAGCAGAGACCTCCTCGCCACGGACCTTTCTCCCCTGAGATGGCCAAACAAGGAAATAATGCCGCAGTGGCCAAGCGGGAGATCTTGACAAGGATGAACAGAAAAACCTAATGAGGTGAACCGGCTTGGATCTGATCGAAATGTATTTCCGAGGGAGTGTGGGGCCGCAGGACACACCCGTGAAGACGCTGGGTCTGTTTCGCTCTAAAAAGAAGGAACGAACAGAAGGAGGGTGGAAGGACCCACCAGTAAAAAGAGAGGAGACTGTTCTTGCTGTTCATTTGTCTGCGTTACAACTGCCTGGTCTGAGTCACAGGGCTGACAGTTTCACTGGTGGGTCATTTGCAGCTCAAAACTCGTTGGGAATGCTCAGACATTCTCCGCACTGCAGCAACCCAGAGACGTCAAATCTTATCTCATCCCCTCCTTTCCCTTCAGCGCCCCACTCGCTTCTGACCTCAGCCTGGACTCACCTCTTCCCTACACACCACCCATTCCCTTACTCAGAATGGATGGAAAATGGGGGCCTTGGAGCCGTGGGGTCAATGGCAGAGACCCTTGGTCTCCTGGAGGCCTGGCCCCTCAGTCCTGCTCCCCTCTGTCACTCCAAGATGCAAAGGATGAGAGCAAACCAGAACCGACAACCCTCTGTGACACATTACTCCTTCCTGCGCCTCCAAAGTAAGCCTCAGTGCCATGCAAGGGACAGACCTGGGTGCGCCCCACGGCTCACCAACTCAGCACGGGGTCTTCGTTTATGAGAGTCTTCCATTCAGTAAATCTCTACTGAGTCCCAGGCCCTGGGTCTCCAGCAGTCAGTGGAGTAGACGAGACCGACGATCTCAGGGCCCTTTGTGTGATCAGTACCCAATACCCCCGAGCTCCTTGAAGCAGGGGAGTGGGTACCATTCCTGCCCTCCAAAGGTCCCATCCAGTAGGGGAGGTTATGCCATGGCCACACAAGTGAGGGCAAAATTCCAAGACGATGCACCCCCATCTCACAGAGAAGAGAAGCAGGGCTTGACCGAGGTCAGTGGTGGCGCCAGGGGCCGGAGCTCTGTCTCTGCTCCACGCCCACCGCCCCAGGAGGTGCAAATGGGAGAAAGATCCTGGCTTTCTCCTGGGGCTGGGGGCTGCAGTGACGTCACCTCGGCCTGCGCCTCCTTCGTGCGCCCCTGCCGCCCTCCGGCCACAGTGCAGCCCGGTGAGGCCTCGCTGGCCCACCCGTGGAGTCCGCATCACTGCCATCGCAGCCTTCTCGGCTAAACCGGCGGTCTTCGTGTCCGGGGGCTGCTAGAGCGAAGTACGGCAAAGCGGGCGGGCCAAAACACAGAAGGGCATTCTCATAGTTGTGGAGGCTGGACGTTCAAAACCAAAGAGTTGGCAGGGCCATGTTGGCAGAGGACTCCTTCCTGGCCTCTTCCTGGCTCCTGGTGGTGGCTGTCAGCCCCAGGCCTTCCTTGGCTTGTAGATACAGCACTCCCATCTCTGCCTTGTGGCGTTTTCCCTGTGTCTCTCTGCCTCTTTGTCCAAATTTCCCTCTTCTTAAAAGGACACCAGTCCAACTGGAATGCTTAAGGGTGGATTAAGGGGCCACTCCGCGCCAGTGCAACCCCATGGTACCTTAACTACATTTGCAATAACCACACTTCGAAATAGGCCACGTTCTGAGGTCTGGAGAGCTAGGGCTTCAACTTTGGGGGTGTGCATGTGTGTTAAGTCACTTCAGTTGTGTCCGGCTCTTTGCAACCCTATGGACTGTAGCCCACCAGGTTTCTCTGTCCATGGGATTCTCCAGGAAAGAATACTAGAGTGGGTTGCCATGACCTCCTCCAGGGGATCTTCCCGACCCAGGGATTAAACCTGCACCTCTTATGTCTCCTGCATTGGCAGGCGAGTTCTTTACCACTAGCGCCCCCTGGGAAGCCCCGACTTTGGGGGAGGGGGACACAGCTCAAGCCGTAACACTGGACCATACCACTAAGCTCGCCAACGTTCCCTCAAGGAAGCTTCCGGAACTGATGTGCTGTAAGGGTGAAAAGAAATAACCCGCATGTCCCCTTTCTACCACGATCACTGGGTACCAGAAGATGCCTTCAATCAATACTTATTGAATGATTTTTTTTTGTAGTCTCCTAATATCCTCACCCCAGACATCACTGTGTCTGTTTTTAAAAATGGAGAATCACGGTGACTTCAAGTCTTTCAAAAGCATGAGGTCCCCATTCACTTCCCCTCCGATATTTATTATACACACACTCTTTGAAAGGCACTGTGTGGGCTACAGAAAACTGTTAAGGGTGCTTACCTGAAGTCATGATGGTAGAGAGAAACGCTTCGCCTTTGGCATGCCAGGGTTTTTAACTGTAGCCTGGTGGGCTACTGTCCATGGGGTTGCAAAGAGTTGAACGTGAGTGAGTGATGAAACAACAACGATCTCCTCCCTGAGAGGTCAGCAGAAATTCGGCATGTATTTGAAGCATGCAGTCTTCAAGGTCATGCGTGCAAAAGCGAGTTAGTTCCTTCGCCAGCAGTGGAGCTGGCCCATCTACCCGTGTAAGTCTCTGCTTGTCAGTGTTGAGGCTCGCCCTGTCCCAGATGGGAACAAGCAGCCACACGTTTAATGTGGCGATTTAAATTTAGCATTAAATTAATTTAAATGAAATAAAATTATAAATTCAGTTCTTCAGTTGCACTAGCCACATTTCAAGTGCTCAATAACATAGGTCGCTACCCTATTGGACGGCACAGATATAGATTTCCATCACTGCAGAAAGTTCTATCGAACAGAACCAGTCAATGCAGTCGCTGGAGTGAAGGGGTAAAAACATTGATGCTTCGTAAAAACAAAACGGCTCCCATAAGAAAGTAAGTGCCTGAACAGATGGGGAAAGGGAAAAGGAAGTGAGGACAGCTCTTGAATAAAACATCCAAGTTCTCTGGATGCAACGATCCACAGTGATGAGTGGATGTCGTGATCTGGGCGAAGGATGGGCACGTCCTCTGTGAGCACCACAGCCCGCGACGTATCCCCTGGGCCTTCCGCAAGAGAAGGCATCTCCTGCTCGGCAGGCAGGCCACACCAGGAGACACCCTCTGACTGCAGGATCAGGGGGAAATTTACAGAGAAGTGGCATCTGAGATGGACCTGGAAGGTTCGGTGGGGTTCAGACCTGCAGGGGGGGGAGCACATTGCAAACAGAGGGGACTTGTGATGGGAGAGACCCTTGCTGTGCTCCCTAGACTCAGAGCAACTAGGAGAATGGTGCTTCCCTCCTTGGGCTTCCAGAAACCTGAGTAGATATGAACTACTCATAATGCAGATGATTGATACTGATACTCATGTAAGGCACAAAGTGGAAGTCATAGTTGCTCGGTCGTGTCCGACTCTTTGTAACCCCGTGGACTGTAGCCCGCCGGGCTTCTCTGTCCATGGGATTCTCCGGCAAGAATACTGGAGTGGGTTGCCATACCCTCCTCCAGGGGATCTTCCCAACCCAGGGATCGGACCCAGGTCTCCCACATCGCAGGCAGATTCTTTAACATCTGAGCCACCACAAAAAAAGCCCACAAATGGTTAATAAGATGGGATAAGGTGAAAGTCCGGAGTCAGAGGCGTGACTCAGTGGCCCAGCTTTTTAGCACTCTCCCCAGCCCTCAGACTTACAGCTTCCATCTCAAAGGCTGTAGGAGCTAGAAAGCGGAAGTTTCTATTTCTCCGGCTCGGGTCCACCTCAGGGATGCACCTGCCACTCCAGCTCCTCGGGCCAACAGGAGAACATTAACTCTAACCAGAGCACCTGCTTCTGGGCATTCTAGCGGAAACCGCGCACCATGCTGTGCTGGTCTGCTGCAGACACTGCCCCTCGCACTGAAGGTGGAATATACTTGACCCCACACCCCTCTTTCCATGTCCAAGTCCTGAGGACTTCTGCAACCTCCTGAGGGGCACGCAGCCTCCCCTCTCTCTGCCCTTCACAGTCACTTCTGTCTCTGGGCCCTTGGAGACCCGGGCCCAAGGCTGCTACTCCTTCCCCAGCATCCACCAGGGATCAGCCTCACCAACATCTCCAGCATGTTCTCCAAGAGAAGCAGGGGGAAAGGCCACTTGGAAGGATGCTCAGCACCCTGTTTCCTGTTTTGTCGGCCCTTCCTTCTCCCACCCCCACTCCGCTTCCCAGTCTTCCCCTACTTGGCAGGACAGTTTCTGCCTCCTCGGAAGTATAACCGTGACTGTCCAGCCAAGTGGGCTACTCACGGGATTCCTTCCCCATCAGAGAGTTGCCCTGTACCAGCCCTGGAGAAAACAGAATGCTCTCCACCTCAATTCTTGTTCACTATTTCATTTAATCTTCTCCAGGGACATGGGGATAGAAACAAGTATTGCTTCCATTTTGCAAATGAGAAAACTGAGGCTCAGAGAAGTTAAGAGACATGAAGAAAGTTATGGAGCAGAAAAGTGATGGGACCAGTTCATAAATTCAGGTCTGAAAGTGTTAGTCACTCAGTCGTGTCAGACTCTTTGAGACCCCATGGACTGTAGCCCACCAGGCTCCTCTGTCCATGGAATTCTCTGGGCGAGAATACTGGAGTGGGTGGCCATTCCCTTCTCCAGGAGATCTTCCCAACCCAGGAATCAAACCCAGGTCTCCTGCATTGCAGGTGGATTCTTTACCATCTGAGCCACCCAGGAGCCCAAACTCAGGTCTCCTGGTCCCAAAGCCCTGAGCTGGCCTCTCTCACCCACTCTCTGAGCGCACCCCCGGCAGAACCTTATCTCTTACCTGCCTCAAGGGGAATGGAGATGCACCAATAAAAAGACAGTGGGGCTTACAAAAGCTCTTTCCAAGCCGTGTAAAATGACTGGGAAGACAACTGTCTGGAAGACACATAAGACGCCGATTGGCAAGAATTCTAATGAGCCTACAGGCTCCGCCGTGAATATGTGGACGGTATCCATTGTGGGTCAGGAATGAGGGATTTATTCTGTGCGTGAGTCAGAGAATAACTATTGTTATTATTTAGCATTGATTAATTGTTCCTCCAGCCCTCCAGGCCTCTCCGAACGGTTCTCAGAAAATCATTAAGCTTCCTAGGTTGCCCGGGCCTTGACATTCTGGGGAAAGAGCTGCATCGGGAGCCCTGTGGGGACGACGCAGGCCTCTGAGCAGCCCGAACTGGCCCGCAGGAAGGAGACCCAGCAGCCCGCTCGCCACCCTTCGCCCCCCCAGCCAGCAGCCTTGCAGAAGCTCCAGGGGTCTCGGCGGTGACCAGGGCGGAAATCACAGGCCTCCACTTCCTTATAGAAAAACCCAAGCAGGCTCGGAGAGCTCTCCACATGGAGAACTTCGGGAGCTGCATACACACTGCATAACTGCTAATAAGGAATGGCTTGCTCTTCCGGGGAGATACAGCAGCCAACACTGCAGCCTCATTCGCAAGGGCCTGATTAAATGTAGCGTTGTAAAAGGCTCCGAGCAGTGAATTTTCATCCTGACATCCAATAACACTCCCTGACCCTTTGGATATTGTCCTCCCCAGAGGTCAAAAATATGAATAAATGATGGCTCTGACAACCTTGACATTGAGCAGAGGTGGGATGAAAATCTCTCTGGGAGAGAAAGAATCTGACATTACATTTGTGATCACAGAGAATAAAGGAAAATCCATACCCTAATTTTGCTAAATGCAGGCTTGACGGGAAGACCAGAGACTAACCTCTGACAACCTTTGTGATGTTTATTCAGGAGGCAAGGGGCTCTCCAAGCTCCACGCCACACTCCACCCTCCATCATTCAACGTGAGGTGGGAGTGACTTCTTCCCACAGACAGTTTTTATTGATGAGAAATGATCAACCCAGGGAGAACACCATCCGGAGGAGTTAGCTCCGAAACAATCTTGTTAAATAGTTAGCGGTGATGCTTCCTATCAGGTCAAAGGTAAGTCCAGAGCACAGGGCCATCCGTCACATGTGAGGAGCCTCATTTACAGACAGATGGCGGAGCCAAGGCAATCAGCCTGAGATCCGCTCAGACGGGAATTTATAACAGTTGGGCAAAGGAAGGCTGTCTCTTGTTTTAGGTTCTGTCAGCGGGCAGGGGAGGAGTGGAAATCAAGGAACAGAGTGAATTACTCAGGTGGCCTTGGGGAGACCGTCTTCGGGATGAAGGCTAGAGGTCAATGTATAGACACCATCCATCCATCCCTCCATACATGGAGCCCATATGCCATGAGTTAAAAGACCCAG